TTAATAATGTTTGAATATCACTCCCGTAAAAAAAATTAAAACAAGGAAAATCATAAATTTATTTCCCTCAAGATAAATAATGCTAAAAAAAAACTATAAAAGCTTTTTATTCTATTAGACTCGAAGCATTAGTGGAAGATAAGCCTCTTAAGTAAACAGTTCCATTCAGTTGGAGGAGGTCATTGTGACTCATGTAACCACACACCTCCAAGAAGTACTCCTTCAAGAGGGAGGTCGGGAGGTTGGGAGGTCTGAGAACATGTCATCATAATGGTTACAGCAGTACCAACAGTATTAGATGAGGTAGTGAAGGTTCAAGATCGGTATAGTCAGCGTTGCCAACTATATATTAGACCTAGAGAGTGTGTGTGTGTGTGTGTATGTGTGTGTGTGTGTGTGTGTGTGTGTGTGTGGCTGTTTGGCAATAATACATAGTGTCTTTCTCAAGAGCCACGCTGGCAACGCTGAGGTCACTTTCATTTCTCTTCAGTGTGTAGTGAGAAAGATGATAATGTCAGTCAACTTGATAATAAAAAATATATATATATTCTGTTTTCACCGTCTTTTTTTAGTTTAAAGTTTTACAAGAAGTATAGAACAAAATAAATACAAGAGAAAAAGTATTTACAAACAATAAAGAGAAAAGAACAATAAAAAAAAAATTTGAAATTTTACTAAAAGAAAAAAAATATAATTCTTGAGACTGTTACCATTTTTTTCTGGTCGTATAAAATTAAACTTTTTTTTATATATATAGGAATGTAACTGTTAATAATTTTCAAAATGTTATTAAGGATATGTGTTTTGACATTCCATTATTGTAACTATCAATTCTATGACTAAACAAAAAAACAACAAATAAACAACAACAACAGCAACCATGTAGTAGATAGTTAACGAGTTGGATGGAAGACACTTAAAATAAACGGTGACGATGTGTCAATTGTATTTGTGGTGTTTGGTATTTACCCTTCAACTTATTATCATGTGTGTGTGTGTGTGTGTCTGTGTGTGTGTCTGTGTCTGTGTGTGTGTGTGTGTGTCTGTGTCTGTGTCTGTGTGTGTGTGTGTGTGTGTCTATGTATATATTTATCTATTTTTCTATCTATTATCTATCTCGAGAAAAAAAAGAATGAGGGAGAGAGAGATAGAAAGAATCTCTCTGCACATCTCTATCTCGAAAGAAAGGAGAGAGAAGAGAAGAGAAAAAGAACGAGAAAAAAGAGAAAAGGAGAGATAATTAACAAGGTCCCTTTTAAAGACCAAATTATTGAGACTGTAAAAGAAAAAAAAATCCAATATTAGAGTTAAAACCTTTTACATATATATAAACCAGTTTGATAATGTTATAGAAACCAATGAAACCCCATTTTAATATTGCCATAGAAATTATATAACCAGATATTGTTAAACCATCATTAAAACCCTTCTTGGATATATAAAACCATAAAAAAATACATAAATACTTCATTAAACTCCAATAAAAACCATCTGGATTATAAACCAAAACCTCAAAAAACCAGTGAAAAAGATAAAACAATTTGACTTTCTTATATACACACATATTAATTGTCCATAAAATAACCTTTCCTGAAACTAATAGTAAACTAATAGTAAACTAATAGTAAACTAATAGTAAACTAATAGTAAACTAATAGTAAACCTTTAAAAAAAAATATACATTAGTTTTGAATTATATAAAGTAAATGAACACGACCCAAAACCGCTAGTGTGATTACCTGTCTAATTAGTTTACCTGGTGTGAAAATACCTGTGTCGGTCTTAAAAATGTCGAATCATACATTTAAGCAAATAAAATATTCATCCTTCGGTCATACACACTCTTAAAAAAGTCATCCATTAGTAACTTTTGCTCATACAACCATACATAGTCAATATAAATAACACCATTACACTCATACACCCATTAGAGGATACACTGGAAACAATATATAAGTGTATTCTGAAAATTAATTGAGTTTTGGAAAAGAAAATAATCAGAATAAAACAGATTAAATGACTTATTAATAAATCTATTAATTACGCTATGTTATTCCCTTCACCAATATAGATAGAAAATTGTGATATAGATGTATCATAATGTATAGAGTAATTACTTAACAACACCTGTATGGTAAGGTAATATTATCTTAATTATCTTATTAACAACAGGTAAATCTTGAAACAGAAATACCTTTATATAATTAATAACTAGGAAATATGTTTAGTTTTAATTCAAGAAAAAATTATAGGGGAATTATGATAAAGATTTCTTTCTTTGTGGTTTATTTAAAGAAAAATGAAAGAAAGAAAGAAATAAAATCATAAGACACTTGTTTTGTTTTTTGTATTTAATAATTTATATCATGAGAAAATCATAGAAAGTCATAAATAACACACCTACCTACGTACGTACACACACACACACACACACACACACACACACACACACACACACACACCTATATGTCAATTTCACACCTGACTGAACCATCTCACCTGGTCAAAACATCTTACCTTCTTGGTAACTCAATATTCACACCTAAAATTCCTAATTAGAATTCCATCATAAAATAACCTAACCTAACCTAACCTAACCTAACCTCCTGACCTTTTTACACCAGACTCTAAAACCTACAATAATTTCTCCATTAAAAAAAATAATCACACCTGAATTCCCTAATATTGTACAGTCCCCTTCACTTGTGCGTTTACAGGGGCTCGTCATATAAACATTCCACAAATCATTACATTGAGATATTTGTTTTAATATTATTTTACTTTGATATTTTACTGTTTCCCATTACGAGTTTCCTTCTATAGAATGTAAACAAACACAGGGCTGCCACACTGCACAAAACCTGACGAAGAGCCCCTGTAAACGCACTAGTGAAGGGGACTGTACCTTTAAACTGTTCAGAGTATAAATGTCTTTGATTTTTTTCTAATCATTACAAACTTACGTATGATCAGAAAACTTAACCTTTACATCAATTCCTGATCACTGCACCTTTAACCTTGATCAGATCTTAATTATTTGATCAATATTAATTACTAAAAAAAAACAGTCGGTTTCTTGTGACGATTTAGGGCAGGTGGGTATAGAGAAGTATAGGGGGTATGGGTTGTGGTGGAATATCAGTGGGTATAGTTGTGAGGTTGTGGGTTGTGAGGGTATGGGTTGTAGTGGTGTAGGTTGTGAGGTATATGGGTTGTGAGTGGGTATGGGTTGTGAGTGGGTATGGGTTGTGAGTGGTATGGGTTGTGAGAGATATGGGTTGTAGTGGGTGTGGAGTTTGTGAGTGGGTGAGGTTGTGGAAATTATGGGTTGTGAGGGTATGGGTTGTATGAGGGTTGTGGGTTGTGAGTGGGTGTGGGTTGTGAGGGTATGGGTTGGTGATTGACCCACCCCCAACAGCTGGAAGGATAACTTGCAGAACAAGTGATTGCACAAGACCAGGTAGCTAATCTATATTCATGAACACCTGTGGATCTATACAGGGGCTCCTAAGGGTGGTGAGGACAATGGAGGAAGGAGGTAGGTGAGGGGGAAGAGGGAGGAGGAAGGAGGGGGGAAGACGAGGGGAGGAAGGGAGGGAAGGGAGAAAGAGGGGGTAGGAGGAGGGAGAGGAGGGAGTTAGGGAAGCGGGAGGGGGAAGGAAGGGGATGAAAGGAAGACGTGGAAGAGATTGGTGGAAGAAGGGAAAGAAGAAGGGAGGAGAAGGAGTAATCAAGGAGACAGAGACGAGGAAAGGAAGAGGAGAAATAGGAAGAAGGAAAGATAATGAGAGATAAACAAACCAAGAGAGTGGAAGGAAAGGGAATAAAGACGATGGGAACAGAGGTGAGAGGAGAGAGTGGACGAGACTGGAAAAAAATATGCAGTACTAGAGTGGTGAGACGGTCTGACCACTCCTTGCTCTACAGATCTACATCACTGAGAGGAGGTGACCTACTGTACTGGTATACGGACAAAAATCTCATCAGACAAAATCCCTCTTTGCAAAATTTCACCAAACAAAAAAAAAAAGAAAATCCCATATTACACAATTTCCTTCTGGCTATATTAAAAAAAACACAACTAAACCTAAACAAAAGACCAAAATCCCACCGAATTAATTTTTTCTTACGTTTGATAATTTTGTATTTTGTTCAATGGATTTTTAAGTCAAGTGGTGAATTATCGAATGAGATTTTGGTCCAATTGATAAGATTTTGGACAAGATTTCGGTGAGATTTTGGGGAATATTATGCAGAGTAGAAAAGAAAACCTTCAAAAGTGGGTTTTTGTTCTCTATGATTTTTTTTTCTCTGTCCACTGGGATTGTGAACTAGGGGGGGGGGGCTTACAGTAGGGCAGCTTCTGTAACTCTTATGTAACAGCGGCCACTAGAGTAAACCCCTCCAGGCTCTCTCTCTCTCTCTCTCTCTCTCTCTCTCTCTCTCTCTCCCTTCGATGTTATCATACAAGATCCATTATCATCATCTCATAAATCTGATAACAATATTTCAAATTATTTTCGTATTTTTTTGTGTTGTGTTTAATCAGATTTAATCAGCCCAAACCCGATTTAACCTGAACTGGGTGATGGAGCCTTTTAGCTGATGAAGGATTATTTTCATAAGTGCTTCTTAACCCATAGGATCCCATAAACTTGACAGTATATTAGAGGCAGTGCGGATATAGTACACTGTATACCTAATATTCCCTACATCAGGTTCCTCTAACAGCAAAATGTGGTACTTATTTAGCAAACCAAACGACACTTAAGGCAGGAGACTGAGTGCTGTGTTCACTCTGCGACTGTACACCATTTACTTTTTTTTAATTAGTGGTAGATCTAATGGCTACAGCTGCTAAAGGAAGTGTACTGCAGAACCAGGGAGTGTAAGAGGCAACAGGAAGTGTACAGCTGCGTCATAGGATGTACAGCTGCTCCATGGACAGAACGGAGCGGACATCTGCTATAGAGAGAGAACAGCTTCACCACGTGGAGTATTTAGGTGCCCGACATAATGAATGTGGTGTACAGCTGCAGCAGGGGGCCCGGGGTGTACAGCTGCAGCAGAGGGCCCAGGGTGTACAGCTGAAGCAGGGGGCCCGGGATGTACAGCTGTAACAGGGATCCCGGGGTGTACAGCTGCAGCAGTGAGCCTGGGGTGTACAGCTGCAGCAGGGGGCCCGGGGTGTACAACTGTAACAGGATCCCGGGGTGTACAGCTGCAGCAGTGAGCCTGGGTTGTACAGCTGCAGCAGGGGGCCCGGGGTGTACAGCTGCAGCAGGGGGCCCGGGGTGTACAGCTGCAGCAGGGGGCCCGGGGTGTACAGCTGCAGCAGGGGGCCCAGGGTGTACAGCTACAGCAGGGGGCCCGGGATGTACAGCTGTAACAGGGATCCCGGGCAGCAGGCCAACAGGGATCCCGGGGTGTACACAACAGGGATCCGGGGTACAGGTTGCAGCAGGGGGCCCAGGGTGTACAGCCACAGCAGGGGGCCCGGGATGTACAGTTGCAACAGGATCCCGGGGTGCAGGCGACAGCAGGGGCCCCAGGGTGTACAACTGTAACAGGGATCCCGGGGTGTACAGCTGCAGCAGTGAGCCTGGGGTGTACAGCTGCAGCAGGGGACCCGGGGTGTACAGCTGCAGCAGGGGGCCCAGGGTGTACAGCTACAGCAGGGGGCCCGGGATGTACAGCTGTAACAGGGATCCCGGGGTGTACAGCTGCAGCAGGGGGCCCAGGGTGTACAGCTACAGCAGGGGGCCCGGGATGTACAGCTGTAACAGGGATCCCGGGGTGTACAGCTGCAGCAGGGGGCCCGGGGTACAGCGCTGAGCAGGGGGCCCGGGATGTACAGCTGTAACAGGGATCCCGGGTGTACAGTTACACAGCAGGGGCCCCAGGTGTACAACTGTAACAGGGATCCCGGGGTGTACAGCTGTAACAGGGATCCCGGGGTGTACAGCTGCAGCAGGGCCCAGGGTGTACAGCTACAGCAGGGGCCCCAGGGTGTACAACTGTAAATAGGGATCCTGCAAAAAGCAGCTGTAACAGGGATCCCGCGGTGTACAGCTGCAGCAGGGGGCCCAGGGTGTACAGCTACAGCAGGGGGCCTGGGATGCACAGCTGTAACAGGGATCCTGGGTACAGCTGCAGCAGGGGCCGCCTGGGTGTACAACTGTAACAGGATCCCCGGGGTGTACAGCTGCAGCAGTGAGCATGGGTGTACAGCTGCAGCAGGGGGGCCTGGGGTACAGCGCTGCAGCAGGGGCCTGGTGTACAACTGTAACAGGGGTCCCGGGGTGTACAGCTGCAGCAGGGGGCCCGGAGTGTACAGCTGTAACCGGGATCCCGGGGTGTACAGCTGCAGCAGGGATCCCGGGGTGTACAGCTGCAGTAGGGATCCTGGGTTGTACAGCTGCAGCAGGGATCCCGGGGTGTACAGCTGCAGCAGGGAGCCCAAGGTACACCTAGAAAGAGCTACCTGAAGGAGCTTCTCCCGCCGTGGAAACACTCGTGCTGGTGAGGAGGTCCTTTGAGGCCCCGAGCTAAGAATAACTCCTGGCCACTCAACACACAGACCAGACGTGACGGGGTAGGGAGGCCTTTACAGTAATATTCTTAACATTTCTCATAATATTCTCCGGAATCTCAAATATTCTTCAAGATCTCAAGTAAAGTAATAAGATCCATGATAATATTCTACAGTCTTACGTAAACTTAACACGTGGGATAAGATTATTACTTTGGCTCTTAAATTCTCGCAATATATGACACGAGTTTCCTTTGGTTTCACCTGAATGCAAAATCATGAGTAAATTTAACCGGCTACATTGGTTGTCATGGGGCAGCTTGAGTGAGTCAGCTCGGCCCGTTCTCATAACCTCAATTAGAGAAAGATAAAGAAAAAATTTAAAAAGGTACGAATCCTTCAGCAT